CAGACTTTTATTGATTATGATATTGGATTATTTCACTGGCGCTACTACAGGGTCTTTTATATATATCAAAGGCAGGTAACTAGAGGTATCAATTCTCTAATTTTGTTCTTGGTTCTTTGATTTTTTTGTCCCGATATATCTTTTAAGCTTTTAATTTGAGCTTAGATGATTCCATGGTTACACAGAGGACGACTTCATTTTAGACAATACTTAAAAAACAAAAAGCATAAATATGGAATCAAGTTGGATATGTTGACCGAACCAAATGTAGTCATTATGTAGGCATAGTTGCCAGTCATTCCAAACGTTACCAACACACGGAAATTAAGTGGGAAATTTCACCCTGACAATTAGGGTTAGTTGGCTCGCAAATATTAGGAATATATGGCCTAGCTCTTTAGTTACTTATATAAGGATATTTTTAAGAGATAAATTTAATTCAGCGCTATGCCAATGAAGTATAACAGAAAAGGAATTTGCCAACGTGGTTTATGGACTGAAAATCAACTCGAATCAGCCATACATGCCGTAAGAAGTGGACAAATGGGGGTCAATGAGGAATTTTGAAGTGCCAGCACCTATATTAAGAAGAAGAATGAAAAGTAACAATTAAAAAAAAGTGCATTAGGAGAAAGCAGTGTTCTCAGTGAAGAAAATGAAAATAAAATAAAGAAACATATCCCAAAGTTGCAGAAAGCTGGTTTTGCACCTACAAGAGCTGGAGTTAGAGAAATGGGATTAAGATTAGCGGAAGAATTACATATTAAAACTACTTTCAACAAGGAAAAAAACTTGCAAGTTTTGACTGGTTACAATCATTCATATCCTTAGCAAGAATTCGAAGCATGAACAAAAAGAATGTAAGCGATTACTTTGATCTGTTAGAGTAAGTTATTCTAGAAAATGAGTTGATGGAGAAACCCGGGAAAAAACAGGACTCCAACTGAATAATAAACCTGCATTTGTTTTAGCCCAAAAGAGATCTAAAAATGTAGCATCAGTAACTTCTTCGGAGAAGGGGGAAACAATTACGTGTATCACCTGTTGCAATGCTGAGGGTAACTTCCTTCCCCCGACCTGCATATTCAAGGCAAAAATAAAAAGCAAGAATTCGATGACGGCATGCCCACAAGATTTAAGGTTTACATGAATGAAAAGTCCGCTTACATAAACATAGATACATTTATTGATTGGTTAATTCATCACTTTGTTCCTAGAAAGTCCCCAGGAAAAGACCTACTGGTTTTGGATGGTCATGCATGTCATTGCAACCGTCTAAATGTTGGAGTATGCAGACGAAAATGAGATCATTCTACTGTGTTTACCGAGCCACACTACACAGTTTTTGCAACCATTAGATTGTTCATTTTTTAAGTCGCTGAAGTCACAATATTACAATGCTTGCAATTCATTTGTTAAAATGAATCCTACAAAGAAGATTAATCGCTTGCAGGTCGGCAAATTATTAAATGAGGCTTGGACAAAAGCTGCCTCAGTACAAAATGCCGTATCTGGTTTTCGCGCATGTGGTATTTATCCAGTCGACCAGAATGCAATTCCAGAGTACGCCTTTCTTGAGAGTTCAACAACACAAATTACAGAAATAGATGATCTCCAACGTCTAAACCTACGATCTACAAGCAGTTCGACGCCGTCTCACACGTCATCATCTCACACGTCACCAGTAGAACTACCATCTATACCTGGTAATAAGCCGACCTGTAAAGAAAAAATCACTCCCTGTAAAATGTTAGATAATACCTCTCCAGTACCTTCTACATCAGGTATTTCACAACTAAGAAAACGCGGTAGACAATTGGCTGCAGCACTTACCTGCCCAGTGAATTTGGCGATACGCAAAGATTTAGATGTTAAAAAGAAAGGAAAGGATGATAAAAAGAATAAAGGTCCTCTGGAAAAAAAAGTCAAGAAAATCAAGAACCAAAAGAAGATGTTTTGTGAGTCATTCCAAAGACTCTGACGATAATATGGAAATTACTAAAGACTCTAGTGATGATCTACAAGATGAAAAAAATTGTGAATATGCCGGCTGTGGGGAAATATATTCAACCACATCGAAACAAGAAGACTGGGTACAGTGCGTGCATTGCAATTATTGGTTTCATGAAAACTGCTCAAAATATGTTAATTTATGTGATATATATGTGGAAAAGTATTGGCAAAAAACGTGCCAAATAAAGTTTATGATCGAGCCATATCACCCTTAGTGTCCGAGTCATCTCACCCTGACATATCGGGTGAGTTGGCCTTTTCCATTTCTTTGTATTTTCATGTTTACTGTTTTTGTATGTAAGTATTTCGCTTAACCAACTCTGTACACTTTCTTCTAATGGTATTTTAATATAAATATATAAATATTTCAGAGCGTAGACTTTTTTGTGCTAAGATACAGACGGTCAAATCAATGTGAGCCATCTCTCCCGGACTTACCCTATATAAAAATATGTAATTTAATTTAATGTGTTTATTACCATCCATCCAAAGGCACTACAGCCCAAGCCGGGCCTTGGCCTCCTTCATTAAACCTCTCCAAACATCTCTATTTACTGCTGTTCTTTTCCATGAACGCGTTTTTAGGAGATTTTTGGCATCCTCATCTACCTCGTCTTCCCATCTCTTTTTTGGTCTTCCAACAGGTCTTTTTCCTTGCATTCTTGCGTTTAGTAATTTTCTGGGGATTCTGTTCTCATGCATGCGGGCCACATGCCCTGCCCATCGTAATCTCTGCAGTCTAGTGTATTGTGCTAGTGTTGGTTCAGTGTATTGTTCGTATATTTCGTTATTATATCTAATTCGCCAGTTGTTATTTTCCTTTATTGGACCCAGTATTCTACGCAATATTTTTCTTTCGAACACGTCTAATGCATTGGTAGATTTCTGTGTTATAACCCATGTTTCACACCCATAACTTACTATGGGTCGGATTATTGTTTTATATACCCGGAGTTTTGTTTTCCGGTGTACGTCTCGCGATTTGAATATGTGGCCCATCGCGAAATAGGCTTTGTTTGCCAGCATAAGCCTTCTATTTATTTCCGGTTCTTCTTCATTATTTTCGACCAGATCCATTCCTAAATACGTGAATCTATTCACGTATTCTATATCGTCTATAAATTGTTGTTGTTGCGCCTGTCTATTTGATCTGGTTTGTATGAGTAGTTTTGTTTTATTTGTATTTATTGTTAGTCCTACAACTTCTGAACTCTGTTTCAACTGAACGTAGGTTTCTTCTGCCGCAGTCTTTGTTCTGCTCATTATGTTTATGTCATCTGCGTATGCTGCTAATTGGGTAGATTTGTTTGTAAGTATGTTATTTCTGCTCACCGTCAACCGTCTAATTACATATTCAAGAACAAGATTAAAAAGTGTTGGAGCCAGTCCGTCACCTTGTTTCAGTCCTTGCGTTGTCATAAACGCATCAGTGATCTGTCCTTGAATATATACATGTGCTTCTGTTTCTGTCATTGTCATTTGCACTAGTCTTATTAATTTTGATGGTATGCCAAATTCTTGTAATATATTAGGTAGTATTATTCTATCTATTGAATCATAGGCTTGCTTGAAATCTACAAAGAGATTGTAGACGTCTATGTCATATTCCCATGCTTTGGCTAGTATTTGTTTAACTGTAAATAGTTGGTCAATAGTAGATCTATTTTGCCTGAACCCTGCTTGATATTCCCCGATAATTTTTTCAGTGAGGGGTTGAAGTCTTCGATTGTGTTTATTACGTTTATCCATAATTTATTATTCTATGATTAACTTTTGGGGTTAGTAACTTGTTGGGAATTTTTGCATTTTTGCCACACTTTACCAATTCGAAGCAACGTTTTATACATTTTTGGAATTAGCTCAGCAAAGGAAAGAATAAAAATTGAAAAAAAGGGGTTCCTTAAAAAATTGGTGATGACGTCATCATACGAAGGTGGTTCAATTATTATATTATAATTGAGTATTAGATTATCATTTGAAAAAATAGTAAATTAAAATCAAAAATCGACTTGGTTCGGAAATTTCTAATAATGTTTATTTAGCTAATAATGAATTTATGCGTTACTTTATAAACACACGGTCGAATTTTTCCTTTTTGGCCACTCTGTACCAATTTAAAGCATTGTGTTATATATTTTTGGAATCAGCTCAGCAAGGGAAATCTATAAATTGAAAAAAAAATAATGGACGTTTCATTAAAAAAAAATGGTGGCGACATCATACTAAGGTGGTTCACCCTGTATATTAAATTATAATTTGAAAAACTAGTAGATTAAAATCAAAATCGACCTGTTTAGAGAATTTGTAATAATGTTGTTTATTTAGCTAATAATGAATTTATGCGTTACTTTATGGACCACTGTATACATATATATCTTTATTAGTTGTGAATAAAGAGAAGAGACAGCCGAATAATACCGGCCGGTAACTAACAATTGGATGGATACTGTTGTAAATACAATTTTCGTAGTTTTACTACCGTAAATATTTAACATCGGTATTAAGAATGTCATAAATACGGAACGAGAATCAATTCAGAGAGATTTCACGCTGTGAAATCCTGACATATTTCCGAAACCTAGAAGACTTTCTAAGTAGGGTTACATTTATCATAATCAAATTTAACTAGTACCTAATACATTACAAACATTTTAACCCTGTATAAATGTGTTGCAAAATTTTCCGAATCGTCACTTACAGATTTTGAACGTGTCTATACAACATTTATTGAGCTATAATCATCAGGACCCGTAATTTGCGTCTGCGTCTACTTTGAATTAGAAAGGGCTGTCACACCCCGCGCCCTAATATTCCCGGCTATCCGCTTGCCTGGCACAAGCGCACTTCGGCCAGCAAAATAAAAGCTTGAATGAAAGAATGTTGTGAGCTTGCGTTGGGGTACTTCGATTTTTGATGACAATAATATTGTGATAAACTGAAAGCATTTTCAAATTGTTCGTATCAGATGTCATAGTTTGAATTTTAAAATGAGGAGCAGTAGTTCGGAACTGCTCCTAGACCAGCAAGAGGAGCTTCGTAGACAAAAAATTAAGGTAAAATCTCGTTTCAATATGTTCACTTTTGGATAGCTGCCACTAGATATATTTGACAGATATATGAGTATGAAAATTAGGTGAATATGGGCTGTCCCCTGGGTCAAGAAATCTAAAAGATTGTTTTATTTATTTGGTTTAGGAATACAGATCTATAAATGTTTGAGATCTTTGCTATTTTCAATTATTTTAGATGTTTTTTAATAAATGGCATATTCATTTATAATTACAATATTTTAACTTCATTACATAAGTTTTATATATAATTTACACGTTCAAAATGTAATAATTTATTATTAATGGTGATTTATTCCCACAAAAAACGAGACACCCAGGATATCAAAAGCTTTGAGCTCTGGGGTACTCTTTATATATTATCTAGATCTATGTGACCTAAAATGAGTATAACTGACAAAATTCCTGATGTATTAATTGTTCGCTTTTGCATGCTCTTGTAAAAATGTTGACATATATCTCTTGGAATAACATTGGTTGTTGACAAGCTTTTAGAAATAGACTACACACTTTCTATTAGCCATTGCCTGCTTCTTTGTACTTCGAAATGTATGCACTACATTCTTGTTATGTTTAGTGCAGACTGTTGTTTTTATGTATTGCCACATACTTAATTGCTGTCTTTTTATTTATTTTATACTTCGACTTATATTACAACTGAATTGGTTGTTCAATTAACAAAATTGAATTTGATACATTTATACCATTTTTGTACCCAACACATTTTTTTCATATGATTTAAGCAAGTTTCAAAACATTTTTATTATTAAACAGAACATTTTTTGAAGTAACATTAAGATACAATAGAAATATAATATACCTACAACTGAATTCACAGAAGTCAGAACTAATTACATGGTCTTCGTTTTAATTTTCTTCTGTAACTGGATCAACTGCACTCAGTCCCGGCTCCATTGCTTCTTCTGATGTGTGACCTTTTTTTCATTTTTATTTTTTGTCGTCACGTCACCTTGCTTCATATTCATATAAAATGCATGGTACACTAAAGGTATATAATCCAAAAGAGTTTGCAGATTTTTCCATTTTTCAAGCTTAATCGGAACTGAACTTACGTGAAGTTGCGTAAAAGTTTCATTAATAGAAAGCGATGGCCGTCCGTAAGTTAAACCCATATAAACATTTTAGGAATGTATAGATATCATTCTAAACTGCTTAAATTCAAACAAAAATGGAATATGTACCTATAAGTACCATTTGATAATAAATGGCCAGCAAAAACCGATTTGCTTACCACCGATTTGCAACCAAAGGTTGCTTACTCCACACTTTGGATGAAAGATCAAATTTTTTATACCGGTAGCATCAAAAAAGAAAGCAAGTATTGCTAGAACCTCTACAGAAGAGAGAAGAGGTAAACACATCCTAAAACGTAAACTGCCCACTGAAAAATTTGAAGAAATAAAACAGCACATTCTGTCTTTCCCACATTATGAGCCGCATTATACTAGAAAACAAACTCAGAAAAAATATCTTTCATCACAACTCATAGTACAAAATTGCGTCAACTGTAAAAACAAACGTATTCATCTCCAATTTTAATGAGAATATGCGCACAAGAGTTTAAAAAATTTAATTCAACATTTAAGAAACCTCAGGTGGATACTTGTTTCAGTTGTGATAAATTCAAATGGAGATTGAAACTTTGTATAGATGAGACAGAAAAAATCAGCATCGAAGCTCAAGAACACGAAGAGCACAAAACAGCCGCTGACACTGCATATGAAGAGAAAAGAAAAGACACCCAGATATTCAAAACAAACAGTCTGATCAAAACATTATACTTTTTATACTACCGACTGCCGATTTAAAATAATCTGTAATTTTTTATAAGCTTCAGCTGTGAACATACAATCTAACGGTCCATGACAATGCAACCGGTCATGCAATATACTACATGTTTTATGAATCAATAGCCGGCAGGGGGCTAACCAAATTCTTCTTAGAGTGCCGTCTCCCTACGGAGGTGAGCCATCATAATGCCTATTTTTATTTTTGAACTTGCTTCTCTAAACACATCAATCGATCTGCATTGATACCAATTACGTAGATCCTTCAACCATGATTTCTGCCTTCTGTTAACAGATCTTCTTCTTTGAGTCTTTTCCTGTATTATGAGTCTCAAAATTTAATATTTTGGACCCCTCATCACGTGGCCTGGGCATTCCAGTTTTCTGGTTTGTATAGTGGTAATTAGTTCTGTTTCTTTACCAACCCTCTCCAGTACTTCTTTATTTGTAATTCCATCAGTCCATGATATTTTTAATACTCTGCGGTATAACCATAGTTCGATTCTTTTTAAATTACATTTTTTTAATGTCCAAGTCTCAGCTCCATACAATAATATTGAAAATATATAACAGCGAATATCTCAAAATTTAGATTTTTGCACGCTAGGAGTGGCTTCATTCGTATAAATGCTGATCTGGCAATCTCTATTCGCCTGTTTATTTCTGCAGTATGATCATAAGTTTCATTGATCAAGTTCCCAAGTACTGATATTTTTCTACTTGTTCTATCACGTTACCATTGATTGTCAATAGGTGATGTATATTTTGTGGTCTTTTTGTAATTAGTATGTACTTAGTTTTTTATAGCGTTTATTGTAATTCCCATCTCAGCACTATTCATACTTAAGCTTTCGATAAAATGTTGTAGATCTTCTATGCTCGTTGCTATGATCACAGTGTCGTCTGCATATCGTAAGTTGTTAATTAATTTTCCGTTAACGGTCACTCCCGCTTTGATTTTATTGAGCGTGTTTTGGAAAATTTCTTCAGAATATAAGTTAAACAAAAGTGGCGATAAAATACATCCCTGTCTAACTCTTCTACAGATCTTCATTTCTTCTGAGTGTTGCCCATCAATTTAAACTATGGCACTTTGGTTCCAATATAATGTTGGCACTATATTTATGATTTTACTGTCAATGCGCTTATTCATAAGTATTGATATTAGTTTTTCATGTCTTAGTTTATCGAAAGCTTTTTCGTAGTCAACAAAGCACAAGTGAAGATCAACGTTTACATCCCGATATCGCTGAATCAATATTTTGATGGCAAATACTCCTTTTCAAGTACCCATTCGATTTCGGAATCCGAATTGCATCTCGCTAATATCCTCCTCTAGCCTTTCGTATATTCTCTTATGTATTACTTTCAGTAGAACTTTTAAAGTATGACTCATCAGGCTCACTGTGCGATAATCATATCACTCTTTTGCTGCCTGTTTTTTAGGAATGGTTATAAATGCTGACTTCAGCCAATCTTGTGGTATTATTCCCGTATCGAACACCGTGTTGAAGAAATCTGCCAATACTTTCAAGTTATCCTCTTCCACTAGTTTTACCAGTTCTACTGGTAGTTTATCTAATCCAGCTTCCTTATTGTCTTTAGAGTTTTTGATAGCATATTTGATTTCATCTATCGTGATCTTCTGTCTCTCTAAAGGATTTAATTCTTGTATTTTCTGCATTTTACATCTTTCATCTTGGAAAAGTTCACTAACGGACTCCTCCCATCGTCTTAATTTCTCTGGTAAATTTATTAGTAGTACTCTTTTTTTGTCTATTATGTGTCTTTACTGTCTATTTCGACCCACTCCAGACGCTTCTCTTATTTTTTTTGTGCATATTACTCATATCATATTTTGTTTCTAATTCTTCTATCTCTTTACATTGTTTCATCAAATAGATTTCCTTAGCTGTTTTGATTTTTTCCTTAATTATTCGTTGCATTTATTTATACTTCTGTAGATCTTTTCCTTTATATTTCCTTCTTTGTTCCATCTGTAATAGTATTTCTTCTGTCATCCACTGTTTTTTAGCCTCTGACCTATGTTGTATCAAACTCTCTTGAGCTGGTTGAGTTATGTGTTTTTTCTACACTATGCTAACCACATTGCTTCCTGCTGATATCGCCATCTCAAGACCCCCCCTCCCCCAACTAGAGCATGTTATTTATTATTCTAACACTAACACATGCGGTGGACAGAATCGCAACTCCCATGTGACATCCATGTTTACATTGATTATGAAAGATTCAAGCAATTTGATATTTATAGACCACAAGTTCATGATACCAGGACACAGTCCTCTACTAGAGGTAAATACGGATCATGGCATTATTGAAAAAAAAAAAAGAAAAAGACTGAACTAGCGATTTTCCATCCACATGGCTGGATGCAGTTGGTCCGCTCTAGCAGCGAAAACTTTACAGTTTATGAAATGAAAAAGAAGATTTTTTCAATTTCCCTTATTAATAAAAGGACCTTTGGTTTTATAAACTAAGGATACTGAAGAAAATCATTTTAAATGGCTGAAAACTAGGTCGATACGTTACACAAATGAATTTGGTATTATACAGTTTAAGAAAACAATATTCAATGAAGAACCATTCCACATAATAGAATTAATAGACCAAGTGCTCAACTTCCAGCCGATATATGAATAATACTTAATCAAACATTGCCTATTTCAAGAGAAAACAAAAAGATGATGTAATATCACTCCTTCCACTCATCCCAACTATTTTTCTTAATTTTTATACAAACTTAAAAACATCTGCTACAGTCAATAGATATACCGACCAAGGCATTTGAAGTGATGACAAAAATGAATTTTAATTAATTAAATACCTTTTCTTAGTGCCTTGTATTTTTTTAGAAATGATAAAATTCGTAATAACTTTACTTTTTATATATAGTTCATTGATAATAAGTTTTTTGTTTTTGATACAAATAAATGATTATGAGAGCTAAAAATACATTTTCATTCCTCACCATTTCTTTGATCATAAGCGTATAAGTTAAACAAAGACATCGTGCCCAACCATATAAGTCATGCAAAACCAAAAATACTCCAATAATGCGATCAAAACTATTTAGACAATGGTTTTGGTATAATTTTAAACAAATATAGCCAACTATTTTTACCTCTCCTAGAAAAAGCAAATTTTTGACTTATTTGCTTTTGTCCACCGACTAATCAATTAATCTTCTAATCTCTATATCATTCCTTGTATTGAAACGGATTTGTGACTCTACAGTAAATTTTCTACGATTGTGTTGCACTAAGATATCTTTTTGTTGTAATAAAATTCCTATTGCTTGTTCTTTAGATGGTAAATTGAAATTGCTTATGGCATTGAAGTAGGTTAATATTGGAGATGTTCTAGATGAGGTTGATGCTAAGGATTTTGATAATTGTTTGGTGACTGCTCTTAGTTTCTAATTTGCTATCCATTTTTAATTTTTATTTTCTTCTTCTGGTAGTTTTCGAGTGATTTTCGACAACTAGTTTGATTTATCGGCAAAAAAACAAAAATGGATCCTTTGTTTAGGGCAATGCGACGTTTCAGATAGTTTTATATAGATTGGATAAAAATTGTACTTACAATTTTTCTTCTCTCTAGTTAGAAGCGCACTTTAATTTCACTCTTAGTAACAATCCTGTTTTAATATTTGACATAAACCAACACTTTTTATTTGGAGCTGAAATGATTGACAGTTCTCTCAATAAATATTTTGACAGTTCACCTCAAACTCTCAGCTTTAAAATAAATAACAAGTGTTTGGTACTCTGGTTTACAATGAACTACACTCCATCTGTATGTTGACTTTAATTGCATCTATAATACACAGCGTGTATTCTTTTTTCAAGGATACCAATTCCAATCCATGGCATTTCTTGCAATGCCAAGACATCTATAGCCGAGTACGCCCTCTACACAGTGGTGATCGTGCTTACTTGTCTGTAATCGCCGATTATGAAGAGGGGCCATTTGATTCTAGGTGTTTACTTTTTCTATATTATAATATAATTACACTGTTACACGCATTATACAATAGTCCAAAATTTCTAGTTCCCGAAATTTCTTTTTTGTTTCGGTTATGACAGTTCGTCATTTATTACTTGTTTCTTTGTTGGTCGTGATTTTGATCCACCCAGTCTTTTTGCTTGATACTTAATTGCTGCTAACTGCTTTTGCTTAGCTACTGAGTAGTTGTAATTTCATCAGAATAGATTACCAATCTGTAGCTCGCAGATTATAAATCTGCAACTCGCCTTTCACCCTCTCACGCTAATTGAGTAGTGATAATCAGTTGAATGCAATGTATCCAATTGTTGCGCGGCATTAAGCCATCGGAGTAGGATTTATTAGCAGAGCTCTTTAATAATATATAATATTACTTAAAAGCTTTATTAGATAGCTCCAGGGTTTATTAAAAAATTAGCCATTCTTATTATTTTGTCAATGTTTTTTTTATAGGAACTAGCAGCTGCCAAAAAAAGTAAAATACCAACTGGACGATCATGTCGAGAACAAGCTATATTTTATTCCACAAGCGTGTTAGCTGTAATGGCGATGTCTGCTGGATCATCTTTGTTATTTTTGGTACCTTTATACGTAGATCCAGCAATATCCACATTGGCCTCCAATTTCGTAACTGAACCAGTGACTTGTGTGACTACTAGGATAGAAGAACTGACCGGGCTTGCGAATTGTTCGTGGAGTTCTTGTAGAGAAGGCTGTACAAGTGACGCCTATCACTGTACGCACATATATGTTAGTTATAATAACAGTAAGGTAAGCGTATGTTTCACAGTTTTGTTACTTAAATTTTAATTTATTAGGATTATATACAGGGCAAGTTAAAACTATTGGAACATAGACGGGGTTTAGGTACTATAGTTTGGGAGTCACTTGGTAGTATCTAAAAAGTGTATGTCGCCTGCGATGTAATGCCTTGTTGTCATGCAAGATATGGTTGATTGTTTTAGGTTCTTTGCTATAGAGTCTACAACTTGTCTCCATGAATCTTACTGGCGTATGTTTAGTACTCAAGCCTGGTATGAATTTGAGCTGATCTCTGTTTGTTTTCTACAGTACTTCAGCCCTATTAGCACTTGTCCGTCGAATATACATATTTCCATTAACACTTCCTTCTCCTCAATGCTTGAGCCATTGTCAGGGCGTGGTGACGCTCTGAATATTATTAGATTGCTGCCTGTATTGCCTGCGATCCTGTGACATATGGATGGCTGCATGTAGGGATTTTCCTACCAGAGTCTTCAGTTGGTCTGCCCATCATGTTGGAGATCTTCCTCTTAGTCTTTGACCTTCTAACTTTCCTTCTACTACCAATAGTTCCATGGCCCCCGTTCTTCTAGCTATGTGGTTGAAGTAAACTAGGTATGCTCGATTTACTTTTTTTAATAGCCTGTCTTTTATATGAGGCTCTTCCAAAATTGACATGTTGTTGGCTCTATGTTCTATCTAGGACACACGTAGAATTCTTCTATAGACGCAAATTTCGAAGGCTTCGATCTTATTCCTATCAATTCATTTGAGAGTCCATGTTTCAGCTGTGTATGTAGCGATGGGAAAAATAAGGGAATTGTCCAACCTAAGCTTAATATTCCTTGTTATTGTTCGGTCTTTTCATATTTTAATCAGTTTAGCTGTTGCAGTTCGGGCTGCTAGTTAGTATATTACTAGTCTACGCTTTGATTTTATAGGTATATAAATCTGACTTCCACTTTGAAATTCGCCACTTTATGTATGTATAGTAGGTTATTATTTGCTCTGTCATTGTTTTTGTTTTTCCTGTGTTGACCTGAAGTCCGAATTCTTTGCTTATCCGGCTTAGGCGGTTAGTGATCGTAATCTGCTAATAGAAGTGGGTCATTTGCGTATCGAAGGTTACTGATTTTTCTGCCCCTTATAGGGATTCCTTTATCCCATTCGTCTAGTACTTTTCTCATTAGGTATTCAGAATATATGTTGTATAATAATGGAGACAGTATGCAGCCCTATCTAGTTCCGTTCTTTGTTTTGTGTACAGATTTTTTATGGTTAACTAGGTGGTTAGGTACTCCCATATTTATCATTATACTCCAGAGGAGATCCATGTCATACGCATGTTCTTTTAAAAGGAAAACAGCAAAAAGCAGTATATTTTACAAAGTCAACCTTAACAAAATTACAAAGTATGGAAATCCTTAAAATATTCTTTTGGGTGTAATGGTATTACATTTTTTGCACAAAAATGAAACCTTTTTCTTGCAAAGCCCGCAACGAGATTATTCTTCTTGATAAACAATTAAATGGTTCATACCATCATACCTTGAATGTAAGATTGTGTTGGGATTCCGCGTTTGGTATCTTTTTTGTAGGTTTCTTCCTCCGTTTTTTCGGAATAATTGTCACGCGTTTTAAATAGCCATATCAATTCCATGTACTATTAGCGGAAAGTACCATTTTCCCTCTTATATACATCCGGCAAAGACTAAAGTAAGCAGCACATTGGGACGCAGGTGACACAGGTGACGCAATGCAGGGCAGGCTACACAGGTCAGAAAATATACGTGTCACGCAGTGTGAGCGCATATTTGGAAGCAGTCTTCTCGAAAATTTTGAGGTGCGAATATCGAATATATTACATGGACATAGAAAGAGAATTTTATAATTTAAATAATGGCGTTATTTCTGGACAGTTCCGAATCAGAGTCAGACACATAATTTGAAGAAACAGTTTTATTATTCAACATGTCAAAGAGAAAAAAATATCATTTTGGAAAAGCAACTAGGTATATGAAAAAGAGACATACTCATGGGGAATTTGCACTATCATCAGAATTCTGAGATTCTCGTTATTTAAATTATTTTCGATTAAGCAGAAAACAAGTTGATGAAGTATATAATATAAGAGAAACAGTATTTATTCATATGGTTGTAATGCCCAAAAACCAATAGAAACCAAAGAAAAACTAGCTGTTTTTTAAGGTATTATTTTTATTAATTTTGTTTTATTAAAATCTTATTAAAAAAATATCATTTTAAACAATCATAATTCTATACTCTATAATTTTCCACAAATTTACGAATATTACCGGTATCAGCGGTTTGAGGAGATGTCTCAGCAGACAACCTGGGGGTGAGTGTAGTAGGTGAATAATTACTGGTGCTTCTAGAGTTGTAATCATTTGAGCATAAAAAAGAGTTTTTGGGAATAGGAGCTAGAGGATTATTACAATGTTGATTCTCAGTATGCTGGCTACTGTGACTGGAACTTGGTGATGGAAGCGGTGTTGACGAGTAATGGGGCTGCTGAATATGGGTATCAACATACACACTTGTAAAAACTCTTTGTTCACTATGAGTGTAGTTTTCTTGACTGGGATTATGAATTTCTAGATATGCAGCTTCGAGCTGCGATATAGCTTGGAACACATCATTTCTTGCACGATGTTGATTTTTTTTGGTTATTTTGTACATCGACATATAAAAATGATAGAGATCGTCATCCAAAGGCTTCTGTGCTGCCCTTTCAACTGCTTTTTCTTCGGTCCTTTTTTGACGTTGCATAATTGACTGCTTTATCACTTCCTGTATATAATCATTTTTAGGTTTCTTATTTTTAGCGGCTTTGGTTGTGATTGATTGATCTTCAGTTGCCTTACGTTTGGCATTTTCTTTTTCGTTATTTTTTTGTATAACAATACCAGGCTCATTAACAGTGTCATTTTTAACACTCTCGATTTCTTCGGTATCATGTCGAATGTCGCTGGTCACCTCATCAAAAATTTCACTCTCTGGATCAACTATGGAGTCTTCCTGTTGTGGGTCTTCATCTTCACTATCTTCTTGTTAATTACTTATTTAATTTAAATAATTGGGATCGTTGGTATCGTAAAGAATTTTACTAGAAACAAACAAACTGCTCTGCACGTGGCACAGGAATCTGTGTCCGGATGACTGCGCTGGCAGGTTTTCTTAAACACAGTTCTGTGCTGCCCTGCCCTGCGTTTAAATTCGCGCGGGGTAATGTAATTGTACGTAAAACAGAAACCTGTGCTGTCCTATGCTGCGTTGCCTGCGTCACCTGCGTCTGAATATGCGGCGCGCCTAATATTTTTGCCACAGCGGTCTACGCCATCCATAAAAGAATTGTATTGCTTTATAATATTTGGTTGAGAAATAAAAATGTGTGCCTTCTCCTCATGGGAAAATAGTTTGACTATATGATGTGGTTTTACTGAACAAAAGTTAGATGCGATGTAACGACACTATCGTCGTATTAACGAGGAACCACAATTTCTTTGTTTTTATCTAATCTGCAATCTTTAGTTCCTCTTTCCTTTTTTTTCATAATATCTGTTAGAACGAATAGTGTTTTATTGTCCTTTATTGTACCTGTACCAAAAAGACCTCTAATTTTTTACTAATTTAGTATATGCATGGATCAGAAGCCGTTATTAAAAAAAGAGGTGGAATCTCGTTTTTGACCGGCATGATTGAAGTACATCGGCATAAGACAGAACAACGGACGAACCAAGACCTAGACCATAACCTAGACGAAGAATACCCGTCCAGAGCTTATACCCCAGCGAATGGATTTATTACGTATAAATTGTATCGTAGGGTGCTTTGCAAAATATGGTACTAAAACTTCATCTAGGCTATGTTCTTGTTCGAAAGAGTCATAATTTAAAAAAATTGTATTCAATGCATCATATAATGACCGTATTTTAGCAAAATTGTCTGTTTTGTCCAATCTATTATTATTATCACACGCCTGAAGAATTTTCATTATATTGGAAAATCTTTCTCTTGATAGAGCTCCAGTGACTTTCTTATTATGACTGTCATCACGATTTTCCCAATACATATATCTTTTTGATAATACCACGTAGCCACTCAAAATAAATAAGCACGCCCACAAAGCACCTAATTTCATTATCGGTGTGTGAGGTCTTTCGTTTACTTGGCTTACAGCAAGAGAAATCCACCATATCATATGTTATCCGAGTTGGCAAAGTGTCCAGTTACAATTAAGCTAGACCAGTCAAAGTTATGTGCAATGCTAACACGATGAAATTGGCTCTTAAGTCTAGTAATAAGCTTCGAAATATAGTATATAGAATATCAAAGGATCAAACTAAGATGGAACAAGACACCTACAAGGCAGTTAAAAAGGAACTAGAGGAAAGAAAATCTGCTGGCGATGAAAATTTATGCATTAGATACCGCAGAGGTGTTCCTACAGCTTGTGAAGTTAAACTATAAAAAAACTAGTATCCTTCCCCTTAACAGTTTTTTTCCTGCTGCTTATACAATATAATTATTGTAGTGGAGCGTAACTTGAATAATAACATAACTGATTGTGAAATTAAATGTAATGGTTTTAATATCTACAGATTTGATATATCCCAGAGAAGAAGTGCAAAGTTGAGTGGCGGTGGTGTACTAGTGTTTGTTAACAACATGCTAAAATCACAAACCATTAGTATTCGTGAAAATCGGGTTGAGCAAATATATAGCTTATGTCAACTTAATAAAGTCAAGTTTTTGGTCGGTGGTGTTTACATAATCTCCATAATCACCTCGTGAAGTATACAACTGGCATTGTCAAACTGCGGAAAATATTGTTCTGCAATATTCAGCACAGCATATTTATGTTTTTGGTGATTACAATCTTCCCAATGCATCATGGGAGAATGATGAGTTTGGTGTAATAGTGCATTGTCCTGCAGGTGATCCAGCTGTAAATATTGCTCAAGCCTTTGGTTTTTTAAAATTGTATC